TACATGTACATGTACAGTACAGATCAGAATTTTAGCCGACACGCAAACACACTTAGTGTGTCAGCGTGTATCGAGTCAAACAGACACAAAAGGAGTTAACCGCTAACACAAAACATGCTGGCAACTGCATAACAGAGAATATAGTATAAACACGCGCACGCTACATGCAAACCCCAGAACAGCCAGCCTTGCCACCTGTTGCTGTCTTTCACCATGAATAGCCTGAAATTTCAGCCAGGCCTTTGTTGACCGGAGCAGTCATTTTCCTAGTTTCCCACAAGAAAAAGTATTCAATTTGACTGCAACTCAAGTTATCTTTAAATTCCAAGGAAATGTTGTCTGTAGTTTACCTCTTTTGTAGCAGGCATCACAAAATCATTTTCGGAGATAAAGCATTTTGTTTGTCCATACAGGATCAATGAAAGTGCAATGCAGGCAACACTTTTTGGTTTATGTCTGAATTGCTCCCAAAACTTCTGAATCAGGCACAGAAAATATTCGAGTGTGAAATAAATTTTTCAACCGAGACGACTATAACTAGCAGTTCTTATGACAAAACATTTCCTAAATTAGAGAAAACTATTTTGTAAGAAATCCACAAAATATAAACAGAGTTTGACCTCACTGGTCTGCTAGCTAAATTTTAGTCAAGATGGCCCCCATGGTGGCGGTCCTAGCATACAAATAGATTGTTGCCATACTCGAGCTCAGTGTGTTCAAAATCGCGGGCATATAAATTCAATGTAAGGTGGGGATTCTTCCCATCAGTTTTCGACCTTTGAGCTGGAAAACGTACCTACAAAATCGCTCCGATTGTGACAATATTAGGACCAAACTGAACGGCAAAGATAGTACCAAAGAAGTCGGGTCTGTACTAGTGCTAGCACATGCATGCACTGGCTGCGTACATGTAGAACGGACAAAGTAACACCCATGTAAACTTCATAAATATGCTGCAGCTATGCATTTGTTGGCACTGTATCAAGATGAATATGCAATACATTTGTTTCGATTTATGCTTGGTGGTTGGGATGAAAGCGCTGGGGTGGTTGTAGTTTCGTGATTGCTTGGTCGTGGCACATGTGGCAGCAAATGAAAAAGTCAAGTTAAAATTTATGTAAGTTCAGTGTTTTTTTTTTATTTACTGGATTTCTGATATATTAACTAAATTTCCATAAAATAAGAAATACTTCATTGTAAAATCAGCTTGTTACAATAGTTCAGGCTGAGGAATGGATTTCTTTCGTGATTAATGTTTTTTTGTGAAAAAGTTACTCAGGCAATCGGGAATTGCTTAAAACCGATCTAGGATTAGAACCATCAAGAAAAACGTCGTCGTC